AAAAAAAAGTAAAGCACTTCGAACACTAGACGAAACTAAAATATATTTCAAATTATGATTTCATAAGTATTCTGATAGTTCGAGTTCTTAAAACAATAAATACTACAAATTGCATCTAAATTAATCTAATTAGAGGTTGAGAGATTACATGTTATTTAATATGCGTGAGAAAGAAAATGATGCAAATCTTAAGTGAAACAACGTAATAAACCACTGATTTATGGGGCAAGTCGTGTGTGCAGTACTGAACGTCATATTTTGCTTAAATTTTTAATGAGTTTAAATGTTATCTTCTAACTAATTTAAAAACAAAAACATACTGTACAACGTTCACGTGATGCATGAAATCTTTGAATCATATTCACTTCAGGAAAATGTTTTTTCTTGGACTTTTCGTAGTCAGCCATACCATCCCCAAACATGTTCCTTCATCCCCTTTTAAATTAATTTAGGATTGCTGTCAGTCTTACCTAGAGGTAGAAACACGTAAACGTTATACAGTCTTACTCACACTAAACACATAATCTAGACCATAATCCTGTCTAGACCAGGTAAAATGGAAACATTAAACATATCTACTCACCCTAAACATAACCTAGCCTTTAATCCCGTCTAGACCAAGTAAAACGGAGATATTAAACATATCTACTCACCCTAAACATAACCTAGCCTTTAATCCCGTCTAGACCAGGTAAAATGGAAACATTAAACATATCTACTCACCCTAAACATAACCTAGCCTTTAATCCCGTCTAGACCAAGTAAAACGGAGATATTAAACAGATCTACTCACCCTAAACATAACCTAGCCTTTAATCCCGTCTAGACCAAGTAAAACGGAACCATTATGCAGATCTACTCACCCTAAACATAACCTCGACTAATCCTATCTAGACCAAGTAAAACAAACATTGTTTTGAACTACTCACTATAAGCATAACCTAGCCCTTAATCCTGTCTAGTCCAGGTAAAGGAAAATATTATACCGATCTACTAATCATGTATAGATCACGTAAAACGAAAACATTATACATTCTTAACTATGATTGTCGATGAAAAGTTTGAAATGAAGGCTTTGGCAATGAAAACTTTCGGTGATTCATTGAAAACAGTGGCATTGTTGATAACGACATTGTTGGCGAATTAATTCTTAAATTATGACATCTCAACAACGCAAATAATCGGAAACGTACACACTTCTCAGTAGAAGTACAATTACAAGTATTTTGGCAATATATTTAATCTAAATGAATTACATTAACTTCATAAATATTTATAGAGCGGTGCAGTGTTGTAGGTAAAAATAATTTTAAGGCAGGTTCATGATAGTTTTTGTTTTTAGATAAGTAGTTTTATTTATAAGAGTGTATAATTTAATTGCATATCTATTATTTACTCATATCAAGTAAGAGGCAGGCGTAACAAATGATGACATCTTTCTTGGTATGCCCCGTGGAATTACGAAGCATTACAGATTGCTAGACATTAGTCTTAAAAGTAAAAATATCATTTTCGTTAGTTTGCCACAACAGACGAAAACTATCCTAAGCGATACAATTGTCAGCATTTAGTTAGAGACAGTTTGATATGTAACGCTATAAAGTTTACGTTCCTGAATGGATTTGTATTTTTTATACTAAATTATATATTTAGTAGTTTCAGAGAAACAAGAGAAAATTGTTTTACATATAAATTACTAAGCCTAAAAACTTATTTTTCTCCTATCGCAAGCTACACCGAAATGATGTTGCACATATATACCATCTATCTCTTTTTAAACAATGCAGTTCATTATTGTTAACCTTCGAAATGATGAAATTTAACCCAAGAATATGTTAAGAAATGAGATTTATGATGTTAGATTGCATATCATATCCAGCCATCATAGAAGAGTTCTGTATGCACTGTAAAGACAACCCTGGAAATAGTATCAAGACATCATAGAAGAGTTCTGTATGCACTGTAAAGACAACCCTGGAAATAGTATCAAGACATCATAGAAGAGTTCTGTATGCACTGTAAAGACAACCCTGGAAATAATATCAAGACATCCTAGAAGAGTTGTGTGCACTGTAAAGACAACCTTTGAAATAATATCAAGACATCCTAGAAGAGTTGTGTGCACTGTAAAGACAACCATTGAAATAATATCAAGACATCCTAGAAGACTTGTGTCTGCACTGTAAAGGCAACCCTTGAAATAATATCAAGACATCATAGAAGAGTTGTCTGCACTGCTTGAAAAGTTCTTGAAATAATATCTCGCCATTATGGAAGAGGTATGTCTACTCTATTAAAAAAAGGAAAACTCTGAAACAAAATGAAAACACTAAAGAGAAAGCTATGTCTACACTATATAAAAAAACAACATGAAACCACAGACAAAGCTATCTCTATATTGTATACAAAAACCTTTAAACAACCTCAAACCACCATAAAGAAAATTATGATCATACTGTATATAAAAAAACAACAACTTTGAAGTAAGATCAAGTCACCATGATTACCTTCTTTTGAACTTTCATTGCAGCCTCTTTGTAAATAGTTTCTTTTCACATAAAATGAGCAAGGATGACTGATTTCAAAATCGAACGCATTAAACACAAAGTTATTTATCATCACCTGCCAGTGATATAAGTATACTCTGGTTTGTAACTAAACAGTTCGATTAAGTTTATCGTAACGTTTGCTAAGCTTTGTGTACTTGTAACCAGTGATAAATCCAGTTATCATAAACAAATTAGAAAAAAACAAACATAATTTTTATAAAACTCTGTTGATCGTACATGATAGAAGAACATGATGAGTTAATGCGTTAGAACTCTGTAAAATTAAGATTCTGTATACTTAAGTAGATAACTAACCTAGTGTTTGAAAAACTAGATTAGGCTGTTCTATTTTTCTTTTGTTGTTGTTGTTAACTAAGAATAAATGATTATTTCTTTCAGGTCAGCGTTTTTGAATTTATATTGAAGGGGAGTGTGTTTAAATTAGATTCTCGCTATTTGATTAAGAAATGTTTAGATTGCAGTTTTACGCTTTCATAAAAACGGCTACATCAGAAAAAAAACATGGCCTTGGATTAATCAGCTAAAATATTTGACAAGTGGTAGAAGTGCACTGATTTTAAGAGAAAGAGTAAACAAAAAATCACAACTGAATAGAACTGTTTTTATATTTTCTTCCATATTTTATAAGATGTTATAAAGTTTAATCATTCCGAGCAATTTTCTTTTCTTGTTGCGACCTTGTTTTATCTACAGATAATTATAAAACGCAAAGACTTGCAAGTAATTTCGCGTTTATAATAAGCCTTAGTTTTATTTTTTGTTCTCGATCGCGATTACTTTTATAATTTAATATTAAGTCTAGCGTACATTCAACTAAGCTGTGTATAACTTAATTAACCAATTAAATGTGGACAAATGTACAAAATCACTTCATGTTAATATCAGAGGTAAATGGAAATAAACAAATAAAGAACACATCAGCCTGACAAGCTTTAATAAAAGGTTATCTTCGGTATACTTTCGAGAAACAATTTAAAATTGTAAAATTTGATTCCATGAACTGGTAGAAAATGTGTTCGATATCTAAACACACATTTTATTTAAAGAGTTTCACACATTTTGCATCCAAATAGTACATTTCAGCAAATCTCTGTTATTATTTTTCAATGTTTACTGTATTCAGTGTTTATCGTTTTCTCGGTTTCAATACTCTCATCCCAAACAATGGTATTATTAAGGTAGTGCAAAAATTCACATTATCTTTATGTTAAAACAAATGGATTACAGAATACGCAGCTTTAAATCAACTTCGTTATGTTTTCATGAATCGGAATCCGGGAATTTCGATCTGTTTGCTCTTATTGTTAATCCTGAATATCATGACTTGCCATAATAAACGGTTCCAAATTGCATTTTATGTTTTATACTTTATGCTTCAAAAATTACCCAATGACTTTTGTGTCCTGTACTATAAGGTGATGTCAGTTTCAGAAGGTAAAATAGTGGATGTTTCTGGACGGTGATTACCTACTTTTCAGGTGTAGACATTTGGATGTGGTGTTGTATAGAGAAGGTAAAGAGTGTTAGATATGAAAACGGAATGTTACTGTAATGTACTATTTCTAATAAATGATGAGTGTGATAGTAATAACTTTGTGAACTACTTAACTATACTATCTTAACATTATGGAATGCAATGACAAGATATAAACGTGAGGTAATTAATCATAGAACTCTCCCTCACGACGAGTTTAAGAAACTTACAAATTATAATAAAAGAACTTGGTTTGATATTAGGCTTGGTTGTGTACCAAAGAAAGGCAATATAGTTAAGAAGTTACGTGTAATAACAAAAAACAGAGTGATTGAAGGCTAGTGAAGTTGTATGAATAAATGTAGCTACAGTTTAGTAGATATAGACGAAATGTTGCTATATCATAAATCAATAAGGTTTTGTAATTTTGTTAACAATCTTCAACGAGAGAATTAATGAATTTCTACTCATAAATATCTCAATTTTATTTAATTATATTCTAAATTTCATTTGGGGTTCAATATTAATTTATGTTTTTATCAAAAACTACAAACCTTTGAAGAATATGTAAATAAAATGAAATATGCGTAAAAACGTATATTTTGTTGATAGATAGTGAAGTTCAAAATTAGACAGCTTATTACGGTTTTCACCTCAATTTTCAGTTCGTTTTATCTTTAGATCTTCCTTAAGTGTGAAACATTTTGAATAACTTAATGCAAACAATAACGTCACCCACAATGCACCAATGTTGTTTCTTTGAGTTGTTCGTGGATATGTAAAAGATCTTTCTGCAACAGTTAATAACATTTAGGTTAATTCTGTAAAGTAAAATAAAATGCTTAGAAGTTCACGCTATTAAAGTTTCAAGATAAACAAAAAAAATTTTAATTTTGAACAGATTATAGAAATAAAATGGTAAAATGTATAAAAATATATGTATGTAGTAAACTTACCAGGTGATAGTCAGACTGCCTAAGAACGCTGGCTAGGTTGAACTACGACTGAGTTTATCTTGGAGCTCTTTAGGAGAGTTGCAGGGTTGATAAATTTATGTTTACATCTTAAAGCCCAGCTAGGAGCTACGTGGAAACACTTCATTAAGTCTTGCCTCACCTTGGTTGGCGTTGAACTAAGCTGTGTACAAAGCAGATGCGCATGACAAGTGTTAGTTTTGTAGAGCAGAGCTCAAGTATGCACACAGCAGCCCAGGTATCTACTTTAGCTCACAGCTAGTACCTTGCACGTGCAGTGTCATAGCGCAAGAGCGCTGAGCTACCCATAATGCATTGTTCATAAGATGCGTTCTTCACAAATCGAACCTGTGGCTCTCGTAGCTAGAAAGACCTATCCTCGTGCATGCTAGTATACATATCAAGAGGTGTTGTTCGCCTCGTTGCCTCTAATTTCTCTTTTCTTATTGTTCTAGCCATCTATACAAGTTTCAAACGTTTACAGAATTGCATACGAAGCTTATTCAAAGAACTTGTAATTTCAGTGTATCGTCATTTTATTATTCTTTGTGTATACGTTAGTTTTTAAAAATTATTTCTGAACAGAGAAATGAAATGTATCTTCACTAAATGTTCTCTCCATCATAGCCTTTAGTAAATATAAATTTCGTTTCTCGAATGTAATTATGAATATATTAAACTATATCACCTTAGCAACGAAATAAACTAAAACAAATCACTAAATCCTCAGTAGAATCAATTTTGATTTCATATCCTCGTAAAACAAAACTTTTTGTTTTTTACATAAAAATTGTTTTAACATATTAATCGCATCTTTAACAAGCAAGTGACTGGAACAAAAAGACGCCCTACGGGGTCATCTTATCCATGCATATTTTAACCAGCGATAAACTCGAGTTTTGCATTTCCTTCAGAGTTAGATAAATTATATACCTGGATAATAATTTTGTTTATCGTACTGCTTAAAGCCGTAAACAAACCAACAAAAAGAAAACAAAAATCAAATACGCTTACACAGCTTTTACCAAGCATTACTGCCAAAACGTTTGTAAACATTCGCAATAAATCTAAACTACTTTTCACATAAATCATTTTATTAAGTGCCCTAAAATAAAGAATAATCCCTGACATTACTTTATGGCACATTACTACATTGTCACTCTACATTCGTAATTCAAAATTTGGCGATTATTAGGGTATAGGGTACATAAGAGCCTTTCTATTCAAGCATTGACACTAGCATACGGTTAAGGTGTTCTCTGCCCGTGGTGAACGGTATGGATAGTCTATTGTGTAGCTTAAACCAAACAAACAAACGCTGCTTCAGTTATTTAACTTGTGTTTTATTGTAGCTTCAAAGCCTAGTTGCCTTACTTAATTCTTTCGTTTCTTTATAACATTTTTCATCTTCTTTTGAGCAAAGAACGTTCTTAAAAGTGTTAAATATATATCTAATAACATGTTCGGAATCACTCGCATCATCCAGGTGGAAACCAAAGGTCACAAAAAATGGGTTTTTTATTTGTAGCTGTCAAGCCGGTAAACTCTCTAAGTCATATCATGAATCACTACGAGATGTCACTCTGAGAACACCATCTAGAACAAAGTATTCTGGACCGTTATCATCCAACAATATGAAATTTAGAATAACGCACGGTGTTGCGTCGCTCAAAAACAGTTTTAGCATTTGTAATCTATTTAGTATATTAAATTGAGTGAAACAATCGAAATATACTAAATTATTTCCCTAAACTTATACTGCCTGACAGCTGATCCTAGTAATAGCCAAAAGTAATGTTGACTTGCTTCCTGAACTCCAGAAATCTGCTCCTATTTTCATCAACAGTAATGTTGTCATACATCCTGAACGTTATCCTTTCTGACGCCTGTTCCTAGTGCAAGTCAACAGTAATGTTGATTTACTTGCTACACGTTATCCTGTCCGATACCTCTTCCTAGTTCAAGTCAACAGTGATGGCGACTTACTTGCTACACGTTATCCTGTCCGATACCTCTTCCTAGTTCAAGTCAACAGTGATGGTGACTTACTTGCTACACGTTATCCTGTCCGATACCTCTTCCTAGTGCAAGTCAACAGTGATGGCGACTTACTTGCTACACGTTATCCTGTCCGATACTTCTTCCTAGTGCAAGTCAACAGTGATGGTGACTTGCTTCTTTTTCTGATCTCGGTTCCTAGTTAGTACCATTTTTCCGTTGACATTCAACACTTTTATCTGACATTACCTGCCCCTCCCTGACTCTTAATGGCAGGCTATTCGGCTCATAATGTTTAAAAAATTTGGTGTTCGACATCGGCACAGTGCTGGTAGCCCATTGCACTTGGACACAAACAAACAATTACTAATTTTACCAAGTTGATTCATAAGGAGATCAGAAAACCAAAACTGTCACTATTTTATCACTGAAAATCTCTTCTGTTCTAAATATTAACATTATTTTACTTCTGGAGTTTTTGGTGTTTTATTTTCTATGATTCAAGGGTTCAAAACATTGCTATTACAATTCCTTGTGTGTATGAAAATCATTTATCTGTGTGCTCTTGCTTTTTAATAACTACTCCTACTATAGAAATTGTGCACTATGGATACCCTGTGTTTAGAACATCTTTGGAGTTATTCCACTAATTACTTTTCGTTTATTTTTACTGAATTTCTGCCCATTTTTTAACTTACAAAGCTACTTTTATCCTTTTTTATAATATAGAATTTTAATTCCTGGAACTTTATGGTAGAGAAACTACACCTTTTTCAGGTGTCGTGGGAGTAAAAGCATATTTGTAACTATTGCGATTGGTTTATGGATAAACCCATTTTGTAAGCAACTATACAGTAAATGTTTTATGACAAGAGGAAGATCTTAGCGTTTATAAATGACGGGAACTAGTGGCTTTCTAGAGTAGGTGACATTTTGCAAGGATTTCCTCAACCTGCCTTCAATGGCATGCGAACTCTCTTGGGGTCACCTGTTTCCCATCACTTCTATAACTCTTGTACCTAAACAACATGCAGTACAGAAACTCTATTATTTATTGAGAACATTTTGAACGCCTATAGAGAAGCACGTGCATCTAGTAACTTGGGAAATGCTTCAGCGGGTACCAGCAGATTTGATAACGTAAGAAAAATGTGTAGCATTAAGACATGTACCTCAGTTTCAACTAAGTGTACTTAAAAAATATAAAAAACGCAATGAAAATTATGCTGTTTATTTAATAAAATAAATAAACAATGTTTGTATTTACTTTCTATATTTCCAGAAATTGGTATATTAAGATAACAAGTGACTTATTATTTAGTGGTATTTTTTTATTGGTTTTATTTAATAATTCTAAAAATTCATAAAAACAAATGCGTATGAACTTTTATTCTGGGAATGTTTTTTTAAGAGAAGATCTTTCGCTGATAAATGTCACTTAAAGAGACGTCTAACGCAACTATCCCCTTTCAGTATTATTAACTAAACAACGCTAAAAATCAAGGTTAGATTCCCCGCAATGGACACAGCAAATAGTCCAATGTGGCTTTGCGCTAAAACAAACAAATAGGTTTATGTATCTACACGTTATTATTCTATATAGTAACAGTTTTGAAAATATTTTGTAGGAGGTTAAGGCTCTAAGCTCGATATGAAAAATAATATAATTTATTGTGCATGCGTTCATGGAATTTTGAAGATACAGTTGCAAATAAATAAGGGTAAACTCCGTTGTTGTACCCTTCTGTCACAACTACCTAACGGAGGAAGAAATAACTTCTGTATTTCAAATCTTAAAGGCCAGAATTAATTATACAGGTTTAGCGTGTCGAATCAAGGTTCGAGACGTGATGCCGTGTTTATATTTTGTGAGGTAAACTCCGTTGTTTCTTTAATAATTAACAGAATTAGTTAAATTATTTAATACGTCTATTTATATGATTTTTAATTAATTACTATTATATTTTATTATAAAAAAAATATTTTGCTTTGTTAGCTTAGTACATGGATTTAGGACTGACTTAAATGTCCTAAATTGGCAGAATCTCGTGGTATATGTTTGGGATTACGTACGAAAATATCGTTAACAGCGAGGTTAACCAACTGCTTAAACTATGAATTCTAGTCTTTAAGCAAACACGTTAGAGCAACATTTTAAATTAACTATACCTATTACAGTATTGATATTTTAATTACGATACACGTAGGTAGCTTTTTTTAACCAGGAGTTATTATCAAAATATTCGCCAATTCCCTTTATTCGGTTGAAAAGGCTTGACGAGCACAGCTGACTGACTTCCTTCCGTCTGGACTGTATCGTAAAATCCGAGTCAACTACATCTGAACGATAGAGGTCTCTGATGTGTCTGTTAGTTCGTGTGCAGTATTTAATGTAAATCTTCGTTCTCTACTTCCGAAGTACGAGAATATAATTTGGCCTATTTGTACTGAGTTACCTGCAAACAGGTAATAATAGCGGTTACTTAGTTCTGTCTTGTCCACCAGTGTGTCGTCGGCGATACTAAATGACAGATGCATAAACAATGCTTCTACATTGTCGTGTAAACGGCGATCTTAGAGACATACATGATTTATACATATCTCTTGGTGTTACTTGTAATTGTTAAAGCTTGTCGGGATCCTTTAAATATTCACTTATCTTTAGGAAGTCGTTGGAAGTCGTCGACTGTAGCTATACTGGAAACGACAAAGACGTTATTATATATAGGGATAACAAAGGAAGACCCAATACGTCAGTATGGCTTAATGGATATTAGAATTAACTAACTGTTTATGCAAAGCGTGATATTATTATTCTCTGTAACCATAGAGCCAGACAGGAATACGGATATGTATTCGTGACAGTCTGATTCGATGACTATGAATGTAGCGAAGCAAACCTTTTCCAGTTTATACGTCATGCTGATAACTCGATTCTCAAATTTGGAATCTTAATATAACTTGAAATACTCACCACCCATTGTCATGTCCAGGTGTATCGCCGTCTATCATTGCGACTTAATTGTAATTCAATTTATTTGATAATGGGATGCTGTTCTTGTTCCGAAATTAACTGTTATAGTTGCATTAAGATGAAATAGTATACTGGATGAAGAACGGAAGTGTGAAGATGTAATCTTGGAACATATCATCCAGTTTAGTTCTATTGTATACGGTGTAAAATTGAAGTAAAATAATCATAGAACAATTAAGTTCGTTGTATACTGTAAAAAA